AAAAAAAAAAAAAAAAAAAAGAAGGAAAGAAGCTCATGCCTGTAATCCTCGCACTCTGGGAGGCTAACGTGGGTGGATTGCTTGCGCTCAAGGTTCGAGATCAGCCTGAGCAAAAGTGAGACCCCCATCTCTACTAAAAATAGAAAAACTGAGGCAAGAGTATCACTTGAGTCCAAGAGTTGGAAGTTACTGTGAGCTATGACAGCATGGTACTCTACGCAGGGTGACACCTTGAGACTGTCTCAAAAATATTTTAAAAAGAAGGAAAAAAATTCAAATTCATGTTTGTAGAACACGAGAAGCTGTTACATGTTACAGTTTGGATGCCTCTTCCCCCTCCCAGGCTTGCCCAGAGGCTGGTGCCCGGTGCGTTAGAGATGGCCTTACTCCCACTTCCTTTCCTGGCAGGAGCTCAACCGCACGTGCCGAGCCATGCAGCAGAGGATCCTGGAGCTCATCCCTCGGATCGCCAACGAACAGCTGACGGAGGAGCTGCTCATCATCAATGACAATCTCAACAACGTGTTCCTGCGCCATGAACGGTAGCCCCCACCTCTAGCCAGTTGCCCCAGCCTTCTGCCTTCCTGTCCTGCTCTCCTGGTATCCTCACACCATCTGAGTGGTCTCTCGTCCTCTTCCCAACATAAGGCAGCCTCCCAAGGTCATGTGCCCTCAGCTGTCTTCTTCCAGTGTGTGCATGAGTGGCCCATCCTTTGCCCGGCCTCTGTCTCCATTCCAGAGATAACCCTCCTGCCTGTGCCCAAGTCCAGCCCCAGGAGATCGTCACAGGTGGTGGCTGAGGTCATAGGCCCTACAGGAGTGTTCACTCCACCACATCCTGCCTCTGGGGCCTTGAGCAAGTTACTCGACTGCTGCAAGCTATGTATGCAGAGCATTTCTGACTAACTTAATCAGAAACAAATCTATTAGAAGAATAGCCTTTATTAAATGGGCAGCTCTCAGAATACAAAGAAGAGGCAAACAGCAAAACCTCCCAGTAGAGCAGGAAGGACAGACCCCAGGCAGCTCAGAGGTCTCAGGAGCAGGATCTCCTGGGACCATGTTCCCGGGGTGCCGCCATCAGTAACTGGATCAGCTCAAACACTGCCTTGTATCATTCTGCCCGAGTCACATTGCCAAGAGAGACCCTGAAGCTAAGTCACATCTTAGCTTCGTAGTGCCCACCATTTGGGGGAGAGAAGGCCCTTTGGTGGCAGGCCCACCAGGATCACCTGAAATGGGAGAAGAGCAGTTTCCCAAAAGCACTGAGGTACTAGTACAAAAGAGGGGGAGGACTGCAGGGCATGCAGCAACAGTGCACCCACTCACTTCCTCCTGTCTGTAGAGCGGGGCTGGTAGCACAACCAAGAGACCATGAGATACTGCCTGGTAAGCACTTAGTGACCAGCCGTGTCTGGTAAATGATATCACTCAGTGGTTAGGGCACCGGCCACATGCACTGGGGCTGGTGAGTTTGAACCCGGCCCCACCCTATTAAACAGCAGTGACAACAACAACAAAATAATAGCCGGGCATTGTGTCAGGCACCTGTAGTCCCAGCTACTTGGGAGGCTGGGGCAAGAGAATCGCTTAAGCCCAAGACTTTGAGGTTGCTGTGAGCTGTGAC